AGTTTTTTTGCGGGTTTGGCCGCTGTTCTTTTGGAGAGAAAAAGCCAGGTGATCGACAAGTCGGTGCCGGAGATCTACCACGAGACCATCCAGCAGGGCGTTTTGGCCTGGAACCCCGCCTTCGAGCGCATCCTCGGGCGCTCCGTGCTGCGATGCGTAACTCACTTGATCAGTGGCACCCTGTTCCCCCCCCCCCCTTTTTTTTTGGGGGGGGAGGGTCCCCAAAAAGGGTTCCCTTTTTTTTTTCTTCTTTTTTTTTCCCTCGCTCCAGGGCCAAACAACTGAGGTAAAGCCGAAGGATGAGCAATACCCCGAGGATGGCCGCAACCTGGAGTTCGGCTTCCCACTTGCTGTGCTTAAGAAACTTGTTTTGTTTTGGGCGACCCACAAAATGGTGGTGTTCCTTTTCACTTCCCCTTCAAAACAAGCCAACAAGGGTAAGACACGCCCAATCCTTGTTTTAATTTGTTCTTATCCTGTTGGTCCTCCTTGGGGAATACATCGAATTCCGTCATAAGTTGGGCGTTTCGTTCTTGACCCAAACGCTTCCCTAGCATAGCACAAATCCAGGAAGTTGTTTTTCTTCAATAGGGAGCCGCTTCAGATCATGTCGACCAAAGCCATATAATTAAGTTTCACGCCCAGCTCGACTTAGAATTGGGAGATGGCTCGTTTTTCTTGGTGGACAAATGCTACGGGGGGTCAACAATCACGGAAGTGGGTGGTTGGTGCAAGTGGATGATAGCTTTAATAGCCTTTGATTGTTATCTGATTGTCTGCTTTCAGGAGGCTGTTGGAAAAGAGGGTCATCGCTAAGTTACCTACCACCTTTTAACTGACCTTTGACCTCTGATCATCCTTGAGCATTATTTTTTTCCAGCTTCCCCATTCTTAGGGCAATACAGGCCCTCGTAAACTTCTTCCTAACCAGCCCATCCGGGAGGAGTACGAGCCGGGGGACGGGCGCCACATCGCCATCTTCATGACCAACCCCTCGCGGAAGGCTCGGAAGATGGCGCCTGCATCGCTCATGCCGGCTCACTTGCCGAAAGCCCTTGGCCTTGTTGCGGGTGCGACAGGCAGGGAATGAAACATGGAATGACCCTTATGAACCATCCCTTGTGGTTTCCTTTGAGGGGATCCCTGGGTTCATTCCCATGTGTACATTCCCTACCTATCGCACCAGCAAGTTTTTGCGGGGAGGACGCAACCTTGTTCACTGGCCCAAAGTGAATCGACTTTTTGACCTCTCAGCTTCCCCTTGGTCCGTTTTGGTGGCGAGGTGAACCTGTTATGTCTGCTAGGTGGGTTACGGCCAGACTACTGAGCACGTGCTTAGTGGCCTTCCGTAAGTTGGAAGGCCACTTGTCAGCTTCGCAGAAGGGGTTGCACATACCTTGCTGCGAGCCACACATGCGACGCATGACCCGCGCCTGCATTGCATGAGTTCGCGAGGAGGCAAACTCGGCCATAGAAACCATGTCCAGTTTCTCTTGCATAAGCAGTCTTGTTTGGCGATGCGGCATCTTTCGCTCTGGGGGTATGTTGTTTTGGGGTGTAGGTGCCTTACAGGCCAATTGGAAAGCACTCATTTTGGGGAGTTCCCTCATTTATCTCTGAATCTTCACGGGGAACATATGGCCTAGGGCCCAGGAAATAAATAAAATATGTCCCATCTCCAGTTGTTCAGAGGCACCCTGAAAATCTCTTTCGGTTGGGGTTCCCTGCTAAAATTGAAAGGTTCTGAACCCTCCTCCACGCCCCCACTAAAAAAAAATGCTTCCCTTTTTCTAGCAACCGGGTCACTGGTTGCAATTGGTGCAGTTGAAGTTACTTGTCAAGTTTGCGTGACGCCTTGCATGAATTTCAGACCCAAACCCACCGCCCGTTCCCCCCCCCTTCTGTCCGCCAGGGCCTTCTGGGCTACGGGCCCAGTGCGGTGGACTACCGCAGCGGGGAGATTTTGATGGCCAGCGTGGTGCTGGGCTTGTGCCTTGGCGATGGGGCTGTGGGGAGGGGGGTGGGAGGGAGGCGGGGAGGGCTCACTCTCAGATTCCTAGTGCTTTCTCTAGTGTCGCGAATCCTAAATTTAGCATTGCCAAGACTAACTCTAAATTGTGTATTGCTAAGACTTGCTCTTGGATTCCAAATCTTTAGTACTGCCAAGTCTAAATTTAGTATTGCCAAAACTTACTCGCAGATTCCCAGTGCTTAATTTTAGTCTTGCCAGATTTTCCCACCACGAAACAGCTTGACATTCAAAGGACACCCCAAACCGCCATATGAAGCACGGTCACTCAGCTGCTCCAGGGGTTCCGGGGCTGTTGCGGATACCACCTTGGCTCTTTTTGCTTTGTTGTTGTTTTGTGTTTTTGTTTTTTTTTTTTGGGGGGGGAGAGGGGAGAGAGAATTTCTATTCTTGCAGACTGCAAAACAGTCCCTTACTCTTGAATTAGGCCCTAATAATTAGGCCAACCCTTCACGCCCCATTTACTGAAGAAGGTTCGACATTCCCCCTCTTTGGAGTGGCCTCAAAGAGCGACCAAAAGTTTCAAAAGGATATCAATCGTTTTCAGTCCCCCCCCCCACATATTGTTAAGAATTGTTTACTTCCGCGAAAGAAATCCACAAGACGATTGGTAATCCGCAATTTTTTTAGACTCCCGAAATAGCAGACAAAGTAGGACCAACACAATTATTATGATTATCCTGGTTATGATTATCCTGGTGCTCTTGTTCCAAGCAACGTGAAGCGGGTTCCCTCAAATAATTACACAAGCAAACAAACAAACAAACAGACAAACAGACAAACACACAAACACACAAACAAACAAACAAACAAACAAAAAAACAACCAAGAAAGCAAGCAAGCAAGCAAGCAAACAAACAAACAAACAAACAAGCAAACAAACAAACAATCAAACAAACAAACAAATACACAAATATGCAACTATGCAAATACGCAAATGCACAAATGCACAAATACACAAACACAGAAATCACACAAAAACACGCACACATACACATTCACATATACGTAAGTATAAACACGCAACGGTCAATTGTAGTAGGTGGTTCCATTAGCCGGTTTTATTGTGACGCGGATGAGTCAGTTTTATATGAGCAAGGTCCATGGGATCATAGATACCACCCCATTGTGCGGGGTCCTTTCCCACATGGCTGTGGGTCAACACCAATGTAATCCAATTTTTAGGGATTTTCACCCATTTTGGAACCGATTTTAGTGGTTGGATTGGGATGTTCACAGGGTCATCGGGCTTTTGGCCCATGGCCACATCAGACCAGGAAGCCGCACGTGCAGATCCCCTCAGACTTCTCGGAGGCTTTGCTGCAGCCGAAGCGGAACGGGGACGTGGGCGACGTTGGCGAGGGGGGGTGCCGACTGCTGGACGCCGACGACCCGGACGTGCTGAAGGCGTTGCTGGAGACCACGGTGCACGAGGCCCTAGGGATCTTGCCCCAGCTTCAGCTGGGGCTGGGGGGTTTTGGGGAGTTGGGGGTGGCGGGCTGGGTTGTTTGGGGGCGGGCTGGGTTGTTTGGGGGCGGGCTGGATTGTTTGGGGGCAGGCTGGGTTGTTTGGGGGCGGCCTGGCTTGTTTGGGGGCAGGCTGGAGGGGGGCACTGCATCGTTGTCGAACAACAACCCCCCCAGCCCTGCTTATCGAAGTTTTGCTGCGGGCCGCTGTGATTTTTCAATTCGTGATTCCTTGCTGGGTGATGTTTCAGGGGGAACACTCTAAGGAACTGGAAATTATGCGAGAAATAAGCTCTACCCTTGTTTTGATGGTTGCTTGGCTATCTAATTTCCGCTCTCTTCTATGATGCGTTGGTGTTCTTGTTGAAGTTGGATGGCCACTTGAGTAATACTCACAACGCGCCAATTCGCAAGTTCAACAGATGGCTTACGTTTTACAAAGGCCTTTGTAAACCTAGATTGTTTTTGAAAAGGCAGCAAAGCATTGTTTGAGGCAAACGTTGCAAATGCTTGAATATGCTTGACAATTGTCTTGCCGTTTGATGGAATGCTGCAACATTATTTGACAATCGTTTGCCAACGTTTTGGGCTTGCAAAGCAAGCCCAGATGTGGTTTTCTCGCTGCCAGGTCCTGTTTTGTCTACTCTAATCCTGGTTTCTTCTCCCTATATGTTTGGACAGTTTTCAGAAACGTTCTGTTTTGTCAGCACTACTCCTCCCCCCCCCCCCCCCCCGACCCTCCCGACCCCCCGACAATTCGATTGTCAAACAACGTCCAGTCCAGTCGCAATGTTGAATCAAACTTCACATTTGTCAAAGACATGCATGTTTTATTCAGTTCTATACATTTCTCATTTCATACAGTTGTAAGACATATTCACAGAATATCAAACAATATTCGTGCAATTGTCAAGCAATTCCGCAGCTTCCTGGTACTCGTGACCCTCTCACTCACCTTTTGTACAAAGCAAAGGGGCCTTCAGAGCCACGGCGGAGCCAAAAGTTCTAGGGGTACCTTGCTCATTCTTTTCCAGGCATCCTTTCTAGGTCCTTGAAAATAATAGGGAATCAACCTTCAGATCCCATTCTTTTCCAGGGATCCTTTCTAGATTTTTGAAGCGAACGATGGTTGAAACGAACGATGGTTGAAACGAATGGGGCATCAGCCCCTAGAAAAGTCGAAAAGAATGGGGACGCATCCAAAAATGAGGGTGCCAAAAGAAAATAGCCGAAAATAATGGGGGATCATCATCCAAAAACGAGTGTGCCCCCCCCCCCCCAAAAAAAAAAAAAAAGCGGAAATAATGGGGGGGGAATCATCCAAAAACGAGTGTGCCCTCAAAAATAACAACGAAACATGCAAAACGAGAGCTCACTGCTGCCGTTTTTCCGCGTCAGGTGGGTCACACCTTGGGCCTTCGCCACAACTTCATCGCTGCAGAGGACGGGGGCTCCTCCGCCGCTGGGCGTAACGAGAGAGAGTAGGGCCTGGCGGGTTGCAAAGGGAGGTGGAGGCGCTTCTGTTTGCTTAAGAATACTTGACTGCTCTTGGGCAACGGATCTTTAGACTTTAGCTTTTTGGTTGAAATCAAGTGGGGTTTTCTACTAAGCCCCCAAAAAGTTGTTCGCTTTTTGCAGGGGAGTCGTTCCAGCAACCAAGGAATATGTGTCCATTTGGTTTCTTTAGCCAACCTGAAAAAGGGTGCCATCTCAAAGAAGCTAGCCTCCCACCAATTAGCGTGGAACCTGGCGTTCGGGGGGTCCTGGAAGACCGTTTTCCTTTTTAAAGGTACCCCCTGTCAGGTTCCATGTTGATTGGTGGGAGCATAGGTGTCCTTTTTGGTTGTTTTTGTTGTTGTGGTCAAGAAAGATAGATGGCGATTCCTGGTTTACCTGGTGGTTTAGTCATCTACCAGGGCCAATTGCCCCTAAAAGGACACCTATGATTTGGAGGCTTCCATTTGCTCCCATGTCCATTTGCATCCATTTGATTTGGAGGCTTCCATGTTCCTTCTGTCCTCCTTGGTTATCACAGGGGATCGATTTCACTACAGGAAAATGCATTTCTCTTTCCAGGGGGCTCAAGCAAATGGAGGGCAGTTGTCACACTTCGACACGGGTAGCTGCTCGATTTCCCCCTGGTGGTTTTAAAGGGAAGTTATCACTGCTGGACATGTTTTCTCATTCTTCTTTAAAGGGACTTAAGCAAATGAGCAGTAGAACCGAAAGTTGGGGTGAGTCAATATAAGAAGCTTAACATGGCTGAAGCCCTTTCAATTCTTCGGATGGCTTTTGGGTAGGCCATCAGGTAACCCCCAATTGGTGGTTTGAGGATTTGAAGCCTTGGTTCTTGTAGAGGGTACCTGGGAAACCCTTAACCACCAAACCAATCCGAACCACCAATTGCAGGTTGCCTGAGACCAAGTCAGTATCAGGTTTGGACTGCGGCTCACACGGGCGAGCTTCCCAGGCTGTGCCAGTTTCCGAGTTGGCCGTTTTCGTGTTACCCCTGCAGCCTTGGGCATGTTGCCCAGGCTTGAAGGCTAGCTCGGTTGAGCTTCACATGGGAGGTGGGTAAAATATTACTAATACACATGTTACTAAGAATGATGGTGATAACAATTGCATAAACCTGCTTGGGTTGGCTTTTTTTTTCGGACCCTTGGCAGAAAGGGAAACCAAAAACAAATATAAGACGCCACCCCCACCCCCCCACCCCCCCTTTTTTTGGCTGGGTGTCCAGCTTTTTCGTTGTGCGGAGGTCATGGACTACCCGGATGATTTGGACACCTCCAACCCGGACCAGCCAGTCTTCGGCGGGCATTTCCTGGGAAGCCCCGGGAGGTACGATCACTACGCGCTCCGGCAGAGCCATGCCCAGTTTGTGGCCACCCTCCCGCCAGCCATGGGTTTGGTGCACAGACCCCTGTAAGACGACTGTCCTCTTGGAAAGCGCCGTTTTGCACAATCCCATGTTAGATTTTTAGTTGGTGGGAGGCTTGGAAAGTGACCGAGCTGGCTGTTAAACTTCATTAGCCCAAGGTTGGGTTGAAGAAAACCAGCTTCTTACCCCCTTACACCCCAGCCAAAGGATACCAAGGGACCCGCTAGCTGTGGATTTCCATGGCAATGCGGCGGCCTCGAACGAGCATTTTGTCTGGAACGATCCCTCCCGCATCAAATCGTGCGCGAGCAACCAACGCACAAAAACAAAGCGGGGAAAAGGAATTGGTGCCCCTAAAGGGGCGCGTGGACTCAGTTATATGCTTGGATTCCACGTGCAAAACTCACTCAGGCTCGGCGCAAGGGCAAACTCGCTCGTTTGTTTACATGCATTAGCAAGTTTTAGGTGTTCGTTTGTACGCGATCTTCAGTGGCTTTTAGGTGATGGATATTTCCTCTAAATTTCATAACTTTCAATTGTGCAACAACAACATATTTTACTGTGTTGTTGGTGTTGTTGTTGTTGATGATGATGATGCTAATGATGATGATGTTGTTGTTGTTGTCCCCAACCCCAACCATTTTAGTCCTTTGTATGCTTGATTTCCATTACTGGCACCTTTTAGCGCAACACCAGGGCGACTTTCGCAATGCTTTCAGGTTTCGGCTTCACGCTTTACGCCGCGTCTCCGTTTTACAGTCCCGTGAGCGATTCTTGGTGGTCTCCGAAATCTCGATTTTCAAGTTTCATCCTGAACCCCGGACCCCAACCGCTTTTTCCCCCGAACAGTCTTGACTTTTCTACGTATGGTATGCATGTACGTATGCATATGTGTCTAAATAGCTGTATATATTACTAAAGCAAATGCTGGCTACCAGATTCCCCGTTGCATTCCCCCTTTGCGTTGAGCTTGTCAAGAAGCATCTCCGACTACTTCGCACTCTGCGGCTTGCGCTCCACCTTTCGTGCCTTCCTGTGCTCAAGTCTAAACCTGGGCCCAAAAAGGCTTAGGTTACACCGGTCAAAGGTAGATGACGCATGTTCCGGTAGGTGTTAGTATGTCAAACGCAAGGGATTCCAGTCACCCATGCAGAGTAGTGTAGCCATCCATTATCCTTTAGGCTTTTAAAGGGTGGTTCCCTACTATACGCGTAAATGGATCCACTGGGTAAGACAAGGACGAGGTTTCGGTTTCTGAAACTTACGCCATGGGGAGAGTGACCCAGATGCAACGTGCTGAAGCTGAGAAAAGGCCTTCAGGCCTGTGAATTACAGCCTGGTTTAGGTCCGTATATGAACCCATGGCCAAAACAGGGCCAGGCATGACTAACGGTTAATGAACCCATACACTAGGGGGTTTGTTAGGGTTTCTTAGGTGGTGCAGGATGTTGTCCAACCGCAGTGCCAGGGCTTCATCAAAAAAAGGGGGCGCAAAAAACATGCCGAGCCGAGGCCATCACCTATGGCTACGCGCCCTTAACTTCGGAGACCCGGGGCCAAAGGCACCCAAAGCTGGATGTCTTGGCCAACGGCCAGGGCGTGGATGAGGAGCTTTCTGCAGAGGCGTCGACCCGCATGTTTCCCATTGGAGGGCCCAGAACTCTGACTGGCCGTGGCTGTTCAATCATTTCTACCTGACTTCATGGGTGGTTGAGGTGGCCGTTTCAGTTTTTTCTACCTGGCTTGGTGGTTAAGGCGGCCGTCGCAGTTCTTTTTCTCTACCTGGCTTCATAGGTGGTCGAGGCGTGTGAGCCTATAGTTCTAACTGGCTTCATGGGTGAAGGTGGCCGTTTCAGTTCATTTTTCCTACCTGATTTCATGGGTGTTTGAGGCCTGTGAACCTTTCCCTCCCCCCCTCCCTCCCCCCCTCCCCTTCCCCCCCCCCCAGCCCCGTGAGCCCCGGAGGCCCAGAACCCCTTGTTCGCCTCGGACGACGACGTGGGCGGCCTGGACCCCCGGGTGCAGCGGCGCTGCGCGCGGGGCGAGAAGATGGGCCTGGAGAAGATCCAGTGGTGCCTGGCGCGGCGCAAGGCGCATGGAGCCGCGCTGGGGGCGGCTGGTGGCTGCTGGGGGGCGGCTGGCGGGGGCGGCGGCTGGTTTTTTTTGTTTTTGTTTTTTTTCCATGTTGACCCCAATAAATTAGTCAGCCCCTGTTTTAAAGAAAAATAAAAAATACTGGGGTGTTCCTCTCCAAAGTGATGGTTTACCCATATTGCCCCTCGAGTTGCGTGCGATGGATGGGTCTGGCACCTTTGATTTCTAGGTCCTTTGTGCAAGTGGGACCATTGAGCTCTGCTGCAAGGAATAGTTCAGTTTTCATGTTTCCCTTGCTGATTTGAAAGGACATCGTTCACTACTGGAAGTATTGTTTATTCTTTCTAAGGGGCTTTAAGCTTGGGCCAATCTTAAGTAGAGTAATGTTGACCCCGGATTAATTAACCGCAGTTTGTTAATATGGGGGCTGGTCCTCTCCAAAAGATGTATTTCCCACTTAAACACCCCCCTATTAATAAACTTAGGTTGATTAACATGGGATCAACATTAGTAAAAATCCTTTTGATCAAATTTTAGGTGATCTAGTCATCACTTTTTAGGCCAAGTAAAGTAGTGAATTTACTTTCAGCGAGGTGATCATTGAAGGGGAAAATTATGAAGCCCTGTCAAGGGTTCGCGGTGGCCAGTTGAGTAGTCACTCTTATCGGATTGAAAGGATCCCTTTGCAACTTGGAGGAAAGGTAGATTTTGAGTTTTTGGATGTACCCTTTAAGGAGCCATGTTTACAGCCAGAATCTGAAAACTATTCAACCCAAAACAGACACCCCCAAGGAAATCAAGAGTTGAATGCAGGAATGGAGGCATGCCTGCGGAAATCGGGGTCCCTCATGTAGGTCCATTGAATATGATCCCCAGCAAAAGGACAGTCACTTGTGGCCCCAACAGGTTGTGGCAAATCGGGTGTTGCCAGACTCTGAACCTCGGTACATTTGAGCGGCTTCAAAATTCACAAAAGCCAACCAGCTGATTTTGAGGACTTGTTCGGGCAATCCACTCTGAAAGCGAGAGGGACAACAAACTTTCCAGCCCATGGAAGCGTAAGCTGAGTGCCTCGAGTTCCAGAAGAGTTCTGGCCGTTGGGGATACCACCAAAGCCTTTTGTATAGATCCTTGCGGCATTCACCTTAATCCTTGCACATTGGCACCTTCCATGGGAGGTCCCTTGTTGAATGGTGAGCCGGCCAGTGCTTGAAAACAGCTGGAGGCTTCTCAGAACAGTGGACGCATCGTGGGTTGATGACTGGATGGAGGCGAAAGGAAGCAACCCATCTAGGTCCCCCAGTGGTGCCCTTTTTGCCTTTTTTGGGGGGAGGGTTCCCCTACTAAAAAAGACTACAGAGAAAAGGGTAACGCAGCCGAGACTGGGCCCACCACCTGCGGCGAAGGGGGGGCTTAAGCCCCCCCCTTAAGCCCCCCCTTAAGGTCCTGCGAAGGGCCCCTTTTAAGCCTCCCCTTAAGCCCCCTAGCCCCCGACCTAGCCATATTTGGGGGTCCCCTTTGGAGGCCTTTTTTTTCTCCTTGAAAGATTGCGTTGCCTTTGTTTTTTTTCCTGAAATTCCTCTTTTCGCGCTTTCGAGCGTCAGCCAAGCTCAGCTCAATATTCAATGCAGAACTCGCCAGGTGCTGCTGGAAGCCGTCCGGGCGAAACACGTGGATTGCGGCTCGCTCGAACCCTCGAATCCGGCAACCAGTGGGTTGAAGTGGCGGGCTTGGCCGCTCAGAACACCAATCCAAACCAATCCAAGCCACCAATTTTGTGAGGTTCTCTTAGAGAGTAAGTGGGAAAACGCCACAACACCCCCCAAAACACGCCTCCAAATCGCAAATCCAAGCCACTGGTGAGGGCTGGAAGGGGCAACACTCAAAATTGCTGAAGGGAGCTGAGCCAAAGAGCTAATCCCAGCATGGGTGATAATGTTTGCAGCTGTTCAGCAGGCGTTGTAAGGGAAACCGACAATTTGTCCATGGAAGTCCTCCGGTAGTCTGCTTTTGGTTTGAAGGACGTCTCGCCTCAACTTTTTGTCCATGCCTTTTGGAAGCAAACATGGGGATTCACCCGGGCTCCGGGGTCCAAATCCATGAAGTCGGTTTGCGTTCTCACCCCGCCCATGTTCGAGTTTTGATATGTAGAAATCGCTTGAGCTTGGTTTAGGAATTTCCTGTGAGTGTCAGGGCTCCTTAAAAGATACATGTTGCCCATTTGAAACATGGCTTTTTCCACCAAAATAAGGGAAACACCCATTTACAAGGCAATGTTCAGGTGTAATATAATGCAAGGATCCCTGGACCACATACCCTGACGACTTAAGACCTTTTTTTGGCGTGCCTCCGAAAATCGGCTGAGCCGAGGCAACATGTACAGCCAACGAGTGCTCGGCACCTTGGAGTCGCTTGCCTTGGATTAGTGTTTGCCGTGGTTTTGGGTATTGTGGCACATGACCCCAACCCTGCCCTGTTTACCCCGAAACTCACCCCAGAGTTCATGATGCCTCTCTTTTGACCGCTGTCGTTTTTTGCAGGAAGCCCCTTTGGTTGGTTTGTTGTAAAGGCAAGCCACATGGAAACCGTGTCGGGGGCGGGGGGGGGGGTATATCTGATTCTGAGAATCCCTGGAAGGGGCGAAGGGGCCGGTGCTTGATTTCCTGCTGGTTCTTCAAAAGCGCCCCTAAGGACAACATTTTCGAAACGGTTCCAGGAGACAGGTTCGAATTGAATTGCTTACACTAAAGGACACTCATCAAATTGGCAGTTTAGAAGCTAGTTGAAAGCTGGCTGAATACGCGTGCTGCGCGTGTGGCGGGGAATAGAGTGTCCCAGCATGGATCGATAGAAGCAGCATTCGATCTACGTAGCTTGCGTGTCTGTTGGGGCCGTGGATGAATGATGAATGCATGGCCCCTGGATAGCCCGCCAGCCTGTTGCTGGAATTCTGATGCGTACTGAAGCTTCCAGCCACCGGCTTGGCCGGCTCGGATTTTGGCGTCAGAACCCAAACAAAAAACATACCAAAGGGGGGAGGCCCCCGAGAGTGGGTTTTCCTTCTATTCGCCACCCAAGCCAAGATTTGTTGCGCCCGAACATCTCCAAAGGCAGCGACAACTGAGCCGCAATCCACCACCCGGGTAGATGAAGCTTAGTAGGCGACAATCCTAACCATAAATAAATACGTGCGGCCGCCTTCTTAATTCTTTACATTGTTCCGGGTAGAACCATTTTAATAGTGAACACCCCTACTCATGAACCCCTGTTAATTAATGTGGGGGTGTTCCTGGTTTCAGTGGGGATTGTTCACTTTTGGAGGGGAACCCCCCTATTAATGAACTGGGGTTGATTAATCGGGGGTCAACATTACCAGGTTTCTAGGGGACCTTCCCCATTCTTTCCAGGGATCCTCCTTTTCAGGAAACCATCAAACATTTAGGGAAACAGACCGGTTTTTGGAAAGAATGATGGTTGAAAAGAATGGAAAAGGCATCAACCCCTAGGGGGAGGGAGCTTAAATATTTCCTAAACAAGGCCTTGCTTAATAAGGGATTATTTGCGCTCCCTCCCCTCCCCTCCCTACCCCCCCATGAGATCATGACTCAACTGGGGGCGCTATGGGATCCGAGGATCGCCTCGCGCGCAGTGCTCTGCGCTGGCGCCTGGGTGGCCGGCGCCTGCGTGGACGCCAGCCGGCGCCGGGCAGAGCGTCCGCAGGGCGCGGAGCAGATGGCGCGGCAGTACGTGGCACCTTCGGCTCGGGTTGGCCGTGCGGAGGGGCGGGGGGGCGGGGGGGTTCCTGTTGGAAGCCCCCTCAAAAATGGAATTGGGGCAGGGGTGATTGCTGGAGATCTCCATGTAGGGTAACCCATGTTCCCTTTTTATGGGGACTGAATAAATGGAATTGTGGGACCCCCCCACCCCCCTTCTGCTTAAGGTAGGGGGGGGGGTCGTGTGGGGGGATGCCTGTTGGAGGCCACCTTCAGAGAATTGGAGGGGGGTGAATTGTGGAGATCTCCATGGATGGTCTTTCCCATTTTCTCTGGGGAAGACCTCAAACAGAGGACATCAAACAATTTCCAATTATGGGGAAACCCTGCGGGCATCAGGTCTCGTTTCTTAGTCTGCTTAAAACTAGCATCAGTGTCATTTCATTGGCCAGGGCCGTCAATTTGTCCCAAGGCAATCTATCCTGTGGTTGTTTTCCTTGCTGGTCAATGGCTCAGCCGAGGAACCTTTCTTGGCATATCCGTCATTCGCGCCAATCCTACGAATGAGGATTGGCGGTTCTTTTGTGGATCCCCTACTGGATCATTCCCCAACCCCCTGAAACCATACTTTCTTCAATCATTTTGATGTTTAGGGTAGTGGTTAGTGTTTTTTTCTTCCGGGCTTCGAAAAGATCCATATTTCGAGCGAGACTACACGGGGCGGCTGGAGCATTACTAATCAGAGCAGAGTGTGTGTGTGTGTGTGTGTGTCCCTTTTAGTGCGTATTCACTCAATTCTTGTAGTGGTCAACATGAACAAGATTTCCCTATGAATCATGACTTGGTTTGGCGTGTACGTACCCTACAGCCCCCCTTGAATTGTCTAGCACCTTACACCAGGATAGTGCCTCCTAAATTTGGACAGGGAAAGTGGATGACCAAACTGCATGGGTTCCCTTGCCCAAAGTGCAAGGGAGTCTGCTTTGGGATCACAGGAGGCGGTATTTTGCACAAGTTTGGTTTTTCGAAGGATGTTCCCTGAATGGCTTAACGGCACTATGCCCTTAGTTGAATGCGGGAGCGCCCCAGATGGGAACCACCTTGGGGAAGATCCATACAGGAAATCGACTTAGGACCCTTGGCCGGATCGTAGGGTGCTTCCAGGGCCACTTGACAGATTTTGTCTCAGCGTATACAGTCGAGCCGGGCAAATTGCGCTGGAGCTCTGACCAAAGTTTTTGGGTGGCTTTCCGGCAAAATTGACATGGGACACCCAAAAAGGGTTCCCCCAAAGTAGATCCACTGGCTGAAACTCCCGGCTTTGGGGGCCCATTCAGTTCCACCATGGACTCCATGCGATCCACTCCCCAAGCATGTTCCCACCTTCGCCGCCTGCGTTTGGCATCCGGCCGGGGTTCGGGGTGTGCGGAACGCGGGCTTGCTGGATTTCTCTTTGGCTTCCAGAGTTAGCTGGTAGGACTCAGCACCGCTGAGGCCTCAGCACCTTGTGGATGAATCGCTGGGGTTACCATTTCGTCATGGAAGTGGGCACAGGGGGTGGTGTTGAGAGGAAAATGGTCTTCCAAGAACCTGTCAGCTTTCATGATTGGAAGGGAAACGCTATGGACTTCTTTGTTTCCCCCCGCCCCCCCCCAGGGTTGGTGTTCGAGCAGCAGCTTTCCCCTGAGACATATCCAGCATCGCCAATGTGGGGGACATGGGCTCACCGCTCACCACATTTCCCAAACATTGGGCAGTTCCCGTTTCAACCCGGCCCGCCGTTTTGGAACACTTGCGGACTGCTTCTTCGGAGCGCTTCCTCGTGTGGCTCCAGATGCGAGGGTCAAGACTCACCAGAAAGCCACAGAGCCATTTGCAAGCCGCGCCCATGCGCTGTACTGTGCTCTTGCTTGGTTTGAGCCAGCCGGAAAAAACACGGACCAGAGGAACCCTGAAAGCCACCAAAAGAGGCACGAGCGAGAGCGAGAGAGAGTGGATGGCGCTGGATCTCTTGGTGAAGAAGAACGCTCCCTACATCATTTGGACAGTTGTTGCCATTGTGGGTGCTTTGGTCTTCCTCCTGTCCCTTCGAAGCGAGTCGAAGCGCGACGCAAAGCCGAGCTCCCGACAAAAGCGGGTGGTGAGTCTCTGCCTGGACGGGCTCTTGCTGTCGCCTACCGGTTGCGCTGAGAGTGTCAGGCGCGCAACAAGTTCTATCAGACCTTGTGAATCGCCCCCTGTGAGAAACCAACAGGAGGCCCAACTTAAACCCGGCTTTGTTAAAGTCTCCCCCCCATTTTGGGGGCTCGGGGGAAGCAACAGGAAGTTGTGTTCTGCAGTGCCTAATTGAAACTTGGTCCTTATTGAAGTTCCCAGTTTTTAGGGACCAAACGGAGGGCTTTGTTTGCTGCAAACGTCGGTCTAACTTAATTCTGCTCCTCATTGTTGAAGCCCCAATTTTTGGTCGGAAACCAAAGGTCAAACTTGGCTCCAAAAGGAGGTTGCCGCTGTTGTTGCAATGCCTAAACAAACCCAATTTGCTATTAAAGTCTCGATTTTTTGAACATGGACATCTCATGCAGAGTTGGTTTCTTGGCAGTCAGTTGGTCGTTTGGATTGGTGGCTTGGGGATTTGAACCCTGGTTCGTTTGCGCCCCCCCCCCCCTTCCGAAACACTGACCTACAAGCCGCCAATCCTCACAAGCGAGTTAGCGAGCTGGTTTTTGAGGCGGGACAAAACAGTGACCCCAAGTCTTTGGCTCTTTTCCTTGGGCCAATCCAACATCCTTGATTGAGCCAATCCACCACCCTTGAGCCAATCCTCAGCCGATTTGTTGAAGTGTTTGGCCCGTTTCCCTTCCAACAAATCCAAATCCGGAAAGCCTCGAGAACTCCGAGTGCCTGGCGTTCTGATCCCATGACCCCAAGTCTAAGCCAATCCAAAACGCAATGGGAGCCTCAACTAGATTCCCCCAGGCCCTTTCGCCCTTTTTCGGTGGAGGGTTCCCCTACCAAAATAGACTACAGAGAAAAGTAAAGTTGGCACCCTTATTCTAACCTCTCTACTGGAGGACCTAGCCCGAAGTCTAAGCAACGGGAGCCTCAAGAAATTAAATCCGTCTCCTTGGGCGATTTGGCCGATGGCCCCCGGCGCCCCCGGCGCCCCCGGCGCGGCTCAGGGCCAAGTTCCTGTCGCTCTGCGCGGGCTGCGAGGTCTACGCCTTCGCCCTGGCGGAGTCCGACGAGGCGGAGAAGGAGAAGGCCCAGGCGCTGGACGGGGGACCGACGGGGGACGGGTAGGGCGAGTCGGCTGGGCCGAGCCATGGATGGCCCCAAAGCGTTTGTGCTTTCCACCAGCCCCCGCCCCCCCTTTGCCTGGCCCGTTGGATTCGCTGTCAAACCCGGCCAAAAAGGGTATACCCTCCAAAAGGACGGCCAGACTGAGCTCGGCCAGACTGAGCTGCTTCTTTCCCATTCTTTTCCCCTGACTCACCCTCTGAGTTTCTGGACGTTGTGCTTTTTGGGTAGCAAACAACTGGCTCAGACTGTGTTTGGCAAAACCACTCCGGAAGTGAGCTTCGCGTTGGTTTGACTTACGCCCAAAAACAAGCTTGGAACCTGAAAGCAGGCCTGAGAGGTTAAAGTTGTATGGTCCCTGTTAGGTTTGTTCTCAGCATTTGCATTTTTTTGTGTTTGTTTTTTTTCATGTGGTTCCCTTTCAGCACCAACCAGGGAATGTGCCTAAAAAGACACACATGTTGGGGTTCATTGCCAGGCTTTCGCCGCATTATTTTTTTGCCCTTGATGCTTTCTTGTGCTTCCTTCATTTGTGTGTGTATCTTCTTTTTCTTTTTTTTTTTCGGCACGTGATTTAAAGGGAGTTCTAAGGAAACCAACCATTCTTCGGGTCTCCTCATTTTCGGAGAAGCCCATGTTCCTTGCACCCAAGTCGACATACGGGGTTCGCCGGTTCGCCAGCAGCCCCAGGCTTTGGCCGAGCTGGGGGCCTTTGATGCGGGCCTGAAAAGGCGGGGGGGCCCCCGCAAAAACATACCGCACAGAATACGACGAGTCGGTCTCTTGGTGAGCTCGTGGCTGCATCCCTCTTTTTTTTCCAGGAAGAAACTCGGCTAAAATGAGTCCAGATGAGGGAACGCAGACAAAATAGTTTTTGTTGTTTCCACCGAGGTTCTGCACCGCTCGCCCTGCCGTTGTTTTTCCTCTTTTTTTCTGGGTGTTCTTGTTTCGGGGCTTTTTGTGGTACCCTTTGAAGTGTCGGTTTCAAACTTGTGGATCCGCATTCGGCTTGAGCAGAGGTTTTCTAATCTCCCCGCTCAAGGCGCCCGTGGCTTTGCTCAGGGGACCCTTAGGTGCTTCGAGTTGGTGGGGGTGTGAACCCCTGGTTTGTTGTAGATGGTAAATTGGACACCCGCGGGACGCCTCCCAACCAAGAAGCTGACCTTTCAGATCAGGGTTGTGGTTGATCACTCGGGGTTTGTCCAACCAGTTCTGTGCTACTTTTGGGAATCCCCTCTTTATATGAGGGTTCAGTCTTGAGACCCTTTTGGTTGCATCACAGATTCGTGCAATCCATTTGCCACGGACCTGGACAGCCATATGTCAGGCAACCCTTGGAATGGGAAACCCCTCCATTTCAGTGCCTGAATCACCGAACCTGGGGGAGCTTTGAGATCCTACTTTTGGGAATCCCGTCTTTATATGGGGGGGGACCTTTATATGGAGGGTTCGTCTTGAGACCCTTTTTGGGTTGTATCACAGCTTCGTGGATTCCCGTGATCCAACCACAGCCCCGTCAACCCCGGAGGCACCGCCTGATGTTCTCCTCGTCTTGCAGCGGCCGTGGCTCCATGGTGCGCCAGTTGCAGCCGCAGCTCCACCTGGAGACGGAGCCCGCGGTGGCAGAGCAGCTGCAGGACATCCGAGAGAGCCAAGTCTCGTGTGTTATTTGCTTCGTTTTTCTCTGTGTGCCACGTAGCCAAACTTATTTATTGGTGGCTCCCGAGCTATATGAGTTATATGAATGTAGCTTTTTTGTCCATCGCGCCCATCTTTTTTCGTAGTCGGTATCCAGCTTTGGGTTGGCAAAGGGTCAAAGTGGTTTCTGGTGGGTTTAAAGACCCTGCAGGGGAAGGTGCCGGAGGTGCGCGTGGTAGGCGGGATGGGCAATGGGTGTTTGTGTGGGTTTGAATGGATTTTTGTTTTTAATGTGAGAACAAAACAGAAGCATGGGAGTTTCTAGTGAGCCCCTTTTTGGCTTGAAAGGGGGGACCCACAGGAAGCCACCCATTTTTGAGCGGCCAAATCCCTATACCCCCTATGGAGCCAAAACCCGTCGAACTACCCTCAGGCGCCAGCGACCTCCCGAGCGTTGAGGAGGTCGAAGCCCTCAACTAGAGGATTTTCACGCCGGGTCATCTGAAGCAAGCTTTGCACGGAGACGCCGATTGCCCATCCTCAATTCGAGTGCTGTCTCAGCCAAAAAGTCCACAAGGTATTCAAGTGGTTTAAGGGATCAGCATGGATCAGCGTCGCTGTGGTGCGCCTTTGCTTCAAGATGCACTCGGCGCAGGTGCAGCATTGCACCAGCTGGCAAAACGCCACAACCAATAGCAGAAACCTAGTTCAAGCCCGCCGGTTCCGGGCTGGAGCTTAAAAGCGAGTTGGGCGCGCTTAGGTTTGGGCTCTTGGGTGAGGTCTGTAAGCACCCCCCCCCAAAGTATATCAAACCTCCGGGGCCTCCTTTGAGCTATGGGAAGAGGCTGAACACACCAGAAAATCATGGTCGGACGTTTGAAATGCCGGATTTGCCGCAACACCTCCGAACTACTCCGAACCACTTGCAAGTCCAAACCCGCAAAGAAGTTGAAGAAACCATTTAAAAACCAGTTCAAGGCTCCTTTGAATTCCAAGGCCACGGCCGGGTTTCCCGGCCAAGGCCGCAGGTTGCTCTTCGCGCCCTTCGGGCTTCCGCAATCCCGCGCTTTCCGAGGCGATCGCGCTGCACCTGCTGCTGGGGCCCGTGTTCCGCCTAGAGAAGGCGGAGAGCGAGCACTTGCTCAGCAGGACCCGGCTCGATCCGATCCGGGCGGATTCTCGTGCTACCCGGGGTGTAGAGGTATTATTTCCCATGGGCGTGGAGTGCGTAGGTTGACTTAGTAGAGGGTTGGTGCATTCCCCACCCCCCCCCCCCCCCCCCGTTTTGTGCGTGTTTCCTCGTTTTTTGGGGGGATCCGGCGGTTGAGGGCGCCACCCTCGCTTTGGACACGAGGAAGCTTGACTGCTATTGGGCAACCGCTCTTTAGACTTGATGTTTTCTTGGAAGATCAAGGTGTTTTCCACTCAACACTCAAAGAGTTAAACTTTTTGCAGGGGGGTCAACAGCATCCAAGGAAGGTGTTCCTTTTTCTGGTGTCCATGGGTCCTTCTTTCCTTCGGACTGCTACTCAACAGCTTTGGGGGCAGGGCCGGTTTCGCGAAGAATGGTCAAACGGAATTTCCCTGAATTCCTTCAAACCCAGATTTTGGTTTGGATTTGAAGCCCGCACAAAATTGCGGGGGGAGAAAAGGTCCGGGCGGAGTGGGCGGAAGCGTGGGCACCTCAGAGACGCCTGCCCCTTGGCTTTTGGCTGATGGCGCAGAGGAACCGAAAAAAAACTCAGTTGGGAGAAGGGTGGGTTTCTATGCCAGGTGGGTGTGTCTTTTTTACCCCCCCCCCCCCCCCAAAAAAAAAAAACAAAAATGAAAAAATGAGAGAACAAGCAAACACATGAGCAATCATGATCACAATTTGTGGTTGCCCCGTTGTTTCCCTTTCAAACCATCCAAAAAAAGGGGGACCCTCAAAAGGACACACCCACTCAGCAACTAGAACTTTCAGTTGATTCTTCCAAGAGCAAACGAGACCCCGTGCGTTTATTCCGCCCCCCACTTTTAGGAGAAGCCACTATTTTGCCACAACGGGTACAAACCACACTCGTTCCCGGGGTGTTTCTTCTGCCCGCGCAGATTGGTTTGCGGGTTGATTCCGTATCTTCCTCTTTTGCGGAGGGGGGCTCCCCTTCAAAGTGAACTACCAAAACGCGTGTTCTTCCTTCCGGATGAGCGGCGCCCGTCAATGCGTTGTTTGCCCATAGAAATTCGTGCGGGCTCGTTTCTTGCCTGGCGAAGTTCCCAAGTACCAACTCGCCCCATTCTCCCCCGTGTTTGTTTTTTTTTTTTGGGGGGGGGGACGGTGGTTTTCTCCTCTTCTGTTTGGGGCGCCGCGCCTGCATTTTTCCCCCGATTTCTCCTCTAGTCCATCAGGTAATTTCATCAGGTAATTTTAGCTGGTGGATCGGATTGGTTTGGGGATTGCCCCCTGGCGTTGGTAGAGGGCGAATGGGAACCTCCTTAATCACCAAATTAATCAACTAGAGGAAAGCTGAGTCGACTCCGCTAGGGTTTGGGGTTTGGGCTCTTGGACTTAGGGTTCCAGCCTTGCAAGCCCTAAGCCCGAATCGCCTGGGAAGCTTTTACTGAGCCACCCAACCACCAACTGGAGCACATCCAACTCCCCAAGTTGTTGTTGTTTTTTTTTGGGGGGGGGGGGTCTGAACCACCCAACCACCAACTGGAGCAAAGCCCCCACTCCCAACCACCGCTTTTTTTTTGTTGTTGGCTTTTTTCTTCGCCAGGAGGGAGGGGGAGTACGGTCTCACAGCCACCAGCTGCCTGCAGCTGCAGAAGGCCGCCTGCGAGCAGATCTTGGGGCACCTGCTGGCGCCCGCGCTGCTGGAGCAGCTGGAGTCCCAGAGGCGAGGCGTCGCGCGCCGGAGGTTTGTTTCAAGGAAGTCAGGGGCCAAGGAGGAGCATCCTGAGCTTTTGGCTTGGGAACGGTGGAATTTTGCGTTTTTTTGTGCTTTTTTTTGGGAGGTCGCGTTCCAGGACTTTGTTGAGAGGTTCCATGTGGATGGGGATGGTGGGTTGTGGTGGGGAGTTTGGTGGTTTGGCAGTGGCTTGGACACGGAGTGCCCAATTGTCTTTTCAAAATCAAGTGATGCTGTCCAGTCGCGAGCGCCTCTCGGCGGTGGCGATGCTGGGAATGCGCAGTTGGTGATGTGGTGTTGCCCCTTGCTTTCCCTTGCTTTATGTTGTACCCATGCTCAAGGGTAGGGAGTACACTCCCCTTATTTTGCACCATTTTCATGCCACTCCAGACTCCAAGAATGCTTTGGATCAAAACCGGTTGCCTTGGACATTGGACCCAAGCCTGACGAACCCTTGATATTTGCTCTGCAGACGTTGTAGACTGGTTTGTCGGCTACCTTCTTTCCCCAAATTGCCCCCCCCCCCTGAGGCCCACTGCCCCAGGTGCCTATCCCCGAAGGGAACTGGTACCCTGTGGTAGTAGAGGTCGTTGTGTTGGTCCATGTTGGTCCCTGGATCTATTCCGGAGAGAATCCAATATGCCACTGTGGATGATTGGGGGATGGATTGTCCCTGGTGGATTGTCTTGTGGATAATCCTGTAAGCGGCCTGCTACGGTTCTTTTGCTTCACGCGATCATGAATGATGCATGGCAATGATATACAAAAGGGGCCTTGAGCCAAGTGTTGCGGGAGATCAATTGGTCTGAGAACCAAACACAAAACAGACACAAATTTCTTTTGATCTCCAGCACTAAGTATGAAATACTATTGGCTTCATGGCCTTTGGCCGTAGCCTTGATGTATGCCGCAGCCATGCTGTATGCCGCAGCCACGTGTATTAAAAATGCCGGATTCATCCTCTTTTCTGCTCGGATGAAATGTCTTGGCTTTCGAAATGGAAAACACTATGTACTGCTTCTTTTTGAGATACCTAGATGTATCAAAGGGTGATGTACAACGCTATGTACACGCGGGACGATTGTGAAACTATTGATCTCTCACTCATGGTATAGTCTTGTAGACCGCGAGGATCAATCATCTGAATCGAGTTCGTGGTGCTGAACGTATGAATCTTCATGCTCAGTCGGATCGACGATACCATCGGCGGCTGCTGTCGGATTGACTGCCATGGTCTCCATAATCATTCCAGGTCGAACTGCTATAGTCCTTCCACTGCTTCTGATGTCCCCACTGCTTGTTGTAGTCCTTGTACTCCTGCGTGGTCCAGGATTGCCTCTTCTTGATGTACTCCTGGTATGTCTCAGAGCTGCGTTGCCTGGTTGCAGATTTGCTGCGGATGTAAACCATGAGAGGACTGTGAGAGTCGGAGTCCTGCGAGCCATTCATGAACATGTCATTGTTCACGTGCTTAAAGCGCTCTGCGGATGAGACCTGGTAATCGAATATGGCCTTGGTTGGATGGTTCCGCATGAATTCCAGTTGTTCATCATCCATGCCGTTCATCTCGTCCTTCCGGAAAGCCTGCTGGATGTTCGTTTTGCCCCATCCAAATACGAAAGTCATCATCACACCTGGGAATGTTCGATCATATCCTGATTCACACTTCATGTACAGGTGATGACGGACAATGGATTTTAGGGTGCACGAAGTCTCCATTGCATACTCCATTCTGTCCACGAGTGGCAAATCTTTCGTTTCATTCCACAGTCTCTGATATGCTCTCATGAGGATGTTCACGAGACCGTTGGCCGGATTGAAGACGTGCTGGAGTTTGCTGTAGGTGTTCGCTGAATTGTTGGCGTCTCCGGTGATCGCATCGCATCGGTACAAAGTCACGAGCGGCATGATTTCATTTTGAAGATCTTCCCTTGCTGCTCCATGGCTAATTGAAGGATGGATGTGGAAAACTCCAATGGTAGCGAATGGGAGATCTGCCCTCGTTATGTGGCGGTCGTCATACTCGTGGAGTGACTTGTTGGATGATTTCGGGATCATGCCACGAAACTCATCACTCTGCTCGATATGGAGAACGACGATCTCCTTGTCTCGGCCATGTCCTTGGACAATGGTGCGTGTTGGCAATCTCGGTCCAATGTACTTCTTGGATTCAGTAAACATGGATGGTCCTGTGGTTGCCAAGCAATCCGAGGTCGGAATTTCGTATTCGGGATCAGTGCAACTTCCTTCAGTTCCGAAGAAACATCTGAACATTCCGAATGTGGTTCCCCAATTCTGGCTCTTGGTGGAAATGTGTCTTGCCAGAAGTTCCACTCTTGCAGAAGGTCCGCCACGGACAAAGCATGCGATCGGTCTGGATGACCATTGCTTGATCACGATGCCCTTGTAACCGTATCGGATGAACGTCTTGATGAGCTCCCTGGATTTCTCATCATTAGGACTGAAGAATGCGTCTGCTTCATTCAGGCATAAGATGTGTGCACTGTTCTGCATCATCATCTTTACGATCGGTCGATCCTTCATCGGCATGTTGTGCACCTCCCTGTTGTCCAGCTTTGGATTCCTTGTGAGGTTTCCATGGTTCAGGGTAAGCATGTTGATCGCTATGGATGAGGTGAACTCATGCATCTTGAGATAGTCCACAGGAGGACGGTCGGTCGGCTGCATCAGCGATCCCAGGATATCGGCATAGGCTCGGATGATTTCCGGGTCATCATGTGACCTGAGCTTCTTCAATCCAAGCGGAAGCTTAATCGGATATCCGGATCCTGGTTGAGCTTGCTTGTACTCATCAATCTTCTTCTCCGAGATTGACATCGGGATCGACATGTGCCAATGAGGCTCTCTCGCACTCTGTCAAGTTGGGATGAGCTCTTCTTGGATCTTTGTTGAACTTGTTCATGAAGCGGGAGAGGTTTGCCTTGGTCTCCGCGAGCTCTTCCTCTGCGTCCTTTTTGTTCAAATCTGTTTCGATATAGATTCCCTTGAGTTCTTGGATGAACTCATCTAGGTTCTCTGAATTGTGATATTCCACGATGACTTTTGGCTTGACGGATCTTTCCCCGGAGGGTTCCATCGTCTCGTGTCGTGCATCTCGTAATCTTCATAACTGAGATGCTTCTTCATGATCCACTTGTTGCTCGCCATGAGGCTGCCATCAGGTTCAAATGCTGCAACAATGTTCCTTGCCTCGATGGTTTTGTCTGTCAACGCTGTTCGCTCTTCGGAGAGTCGGATGCCATAGTCTTGGCCCTTGAGGAATGCAAGGATCAACAGCGCATCTCTTCCTGCTGGCACATGGGTCAATGCGGCTTCTGACTCATCGTCGTCAAGGATGACGTCATCGATGCATGCCATGTGGACGTGCATTCTCCCCGAAGGGTTTGACTGGGATTTCCCAGATTTGAGCCCGTGCTCCATGATGCTGAAGAGCTGATTTCCATAGGTTGCATGGAACATGAATGTGATGGGCTTCTTCGCGGACGGCTTGATTTTTCTCTCTTCTTCAATGGATGGTGGTGCCGGCCTTCGCATTCTGTGCTTGGGCTGAGCTGTGCCTTCATCTTCATGAGGCGATTCGGATGTTGACGGATGAGGACTTGGGGGAATAGATTCCGTTGGTAGATGATAGTCCGGTTCGTCGTGTTGAGGCTCTTTCTGCTGCTCAGAGTACAGGGGTCGTCCAAAGGATTGGATCTCGACTTGTCGTGTGTGTCCGCTGTTGCATCACGTAGAACTCCATCTCTGGATCGACATAGAATTCCTTGCCATCGGGCCTGAGTGCATTTTGTGCGGATCTTGTAGTGAGCTTGTCGATCCATCGATTCCTTGGAACAATTTCTCCCCGTGCCTTTCGCTCCTTTCTTTGGCCCGTCCACGGATGGAAATACGAATGCAATTTCGAAACGTGATTTTACATAGCTCGGGAACATAGCCATCAAGAGAAGTCCTGGCTTATTTCCAATGAAGTTCCTGGCATGTGTGATGCAGGTCAATGCGTCATAGAGCTCGACGGATCCATCAGGACCCATGTCCACTTGTCGTCTGCATTCCTTATGGATTCCATGCCTTGGATCATGTCGAAGACATCCGGAAAATGATCTGCTCATTCTCTCAATTCGCCAGAGGATGAGATCTGTGATCTGTTTCGCCTTGGATGGATCCATGCGGAAGTATTTGCAAACCTGTTCGGCATTCTGGACGGTCTTCTCGAGATCAATGTTGCCGTTGTGGCATACCATCGGGATGATGTCGGTTCCGCAAGCTTCGGATTGAGGATTGGTGTAGCAGCAGATGCTGTAGACCTTCTTGATGAATTCCATGTCTTGCTTCTCCGTATGAGGTCCTTCACCTTGGAGTGTTGGCTGCCAGTAATCGTTGAATCTGGCCTTCAACCAGAATACCTTAACTCCATGTGGTCTCTCATGCTCAGGAACGAAGTGGAAATCCGGATTGACATCGAGGATGGTTGAGCATTCCCTGTAGTACTCGTACACAAAATTCAGGAATTTTGAGTTTCCGAAAGGTTCTGGGTGTACGGATTCCTTCTGGAGGCTGATGTTTGTATCCGATCCATATGTTACAAACCACCGATCATTGGATGTGAGAACAGGCCGCATCACTGGTCGCCTTGGAAGTGCAGGTCGATCACCAGGATGATTGTCGGATTCCGTCTCTTCATCCAGGATGTTCTTTGGCGCTGGCTTGACCTTGGAGACAAGCCTCAATGCTGGTGGCGGTGACTTTGAAACAAGTTTCGGATGCGGCATCGCCGTTGACGTAGGCCTTCCTGCGGGAGGATGCCCTTCTTCATCTGAATCATCGTCGTCGGAATCTGGATCATAATCAACCTGCTCCATGTTGACATTCCCGGGTTGCTGAGAGGCGGATGGATTCTCATCGGCGACTTGCTCCATGGGGCAGTCTGATGTCTCATCTTCCTCATCACGAGCAGGGGATTCCTTCAA